AGAATTTGGTACTAAATTTGTGCAAGGTTTTGGTTAACCGAATTGAATGCAATTTTTTGCCCTTATCGCTTGTTCTGTGAAGCTCGACCGCCAGCTCATAAATGTTTTCAACTCCCTAAGAGCTTTTTTTAATGCTCGCAAAACTAATTTCTTTATTTATAGAGCTGTTTCCGCTATCATAGCTTCATTCAGTTACCACTTCTTAAGGCCCGTTACATGAGCTCTGTTACTCCGCTTCCTGCAATTGCAAAGTTGTTAGACACGTTGCCTGCAAAAGCATATTTCTTGCAAATGGCATGAAGACAATAAGTTGGAAAAAATGATAAAAAAATGAAACCGTTTTCCTTGCTGGTCACAAAGGTAAGAGTGTTCAAGAGGGACACTGAAGAATAAGGACTCGTGTAGCAAAGGTAGACTCTTTACTTACAATCATGTATGTAACATATTTCACAACCAGAACGAATGAGCATATCCGAAGAGTAATATTCCGTGCAGGCTAGTTATGGTCATTTTGCCAATAGTAGACTTTTTGGATAATTAAAAATCAGCTAAGTTAAAAAAAGCTTCAGATAAAGTAACTGTACTCTTTCATCCTTTGCCAACCATCCTCCCACGCCCCATAGTACAAATCTCATTTTGCACTTCATTGTGAAAGTGGCTAGGGCTTCATCAGCGTTGAAATTTACCTTGTCCGCTATAAAATCCTGTCGACAGCCAGATCGGTGAACCTTATAACATCTGCTCACTTTTTTTAATTCTCTAATCGGACAAATCCGCTTCGACCAATTACAGCGTATTAAAAGCAGCTTGCTAAATTTATGCAGTCAAAATATGTTTGTTTTCCTTACAGTTCAATTGACCATCTCTCACCTGCTACCTGCTGGCTGGCTTTGATAACTGAGAAGGCCAGCAGGAAGTGCAAGATGGTGAGATATAGACAAAGCCAATGAATTGAACTCATATAATTTCTGTCTAGATGTTTAATGTTCTATGTTAGAATTATAGAAAGTGTAACTTCAGCACAACATTTTCTGCTGCTGAAATTCTAGGCTTCTTTCGCCTGTCTGTGCATCCCATAGTCAGACAAGACAACAAAGAGTTGTGAGTCAAGTTCACAACTCGAAGTTCGACATTTAAATAATTGCGAATCAGCGCCGTGGAATCTTGAGACAATCACAGTAACTAGGAGGTTATATTTCTGAGAAGTAAAGAATTGTACGCGAGTGGCCTTTTTAGAAAAGTTTGAGCTTTTCAATGAGAATTTTTGTAGATGTTAGAAGAAAGAAAGAACGGTTCCTTTTTGTAACTTACTCTTGTGATAATAATTAGTAGGTTGTTTAAAAGTAATTTTCTTTCCAAATAATCCAAACCGTCCTTCACCTAAAGATTTTGGGGTATCATTTAAAAAGCGAAGCGCTGTACAAAATGACGACCAAAGACCCGCCTAAGTTGTAAACCCATGTGATATTTGGAGGCAAACAACAATATTTTCAAGTACCTCAAAAACCGGATCTCCTTCGAGGAAATTTCTACGGACCTCCAACTTGTCATTATACAATAGACGGATAATAATACCCTAAAAATGCATTTGGTGAATTTCGGGCCTTGAAATTGAGAAATAAAAGTAGCTCGAAAGTGCGAAAGTGTCCCTTGCTTTTGATGTTGAACTTAGTATTTCTCGACTATCAGGGCGCATATAAATGTGAAGTTTTGGGCTTTTACTTACTAAGGCCTGTAGTGTACAGTGACATAAGTGGGAGGGGCTGGGGCAGTATTTGCCATTTGATCCATCTTTTTTCTCGCTAAAATAAAACAAAATTCCAAGATAGATTTACTTTGGGATAACCTAATAGAACGAACACAAACTCAAAATACCAAGTGGAAGAATCCAAAACGAGACATGTTTTCGTTTCAAAACCTTTAGCAGCTAGGGAAAACTTGATGAATGAAATGATTCTGAACATTTTACTCGGTGTTGACGGGATGGATGGTGCAGCTAATGCGAATGATTAAAAAACTCCTTCGGAATTCATTGTTTGAAGATTACAGACAAGCAAAGTAGCTGAGAAACTCGAGTCTGACGCTTGAACAAATGGCTACCTCCACCTCGCTTTTGATGTTATTGGTTTGGCTCAGTATCAATGGAGTTTTACCCCTGTTCCACTGAGAATGTCACAGTTCTTTGGAAACTTACAGTATATAAAAATGGGATGAGAACTATCGTTATCATCAAGCTAGCTATTTAGAGCTTATACATCCGAATCAGTAAAGGTTGTAGGAGAATTTACTCAATGAAGGAACAAAAAAATTTTATATTGATTTTTTTGGCAAAGTGCAACTTCATCCAAAATGAGTGTTAGGCGGTAAAGCCCTGAAGCTATAGCCTCAATCCATTATTTGCGAGTAGCCATGCAGAGATTTTCAAAAAATTTTCTGCCAAGGAGAGATTTTGTTGAATATAAAAATATACATCAAAAGCTTTTTTATTTCATGTCTTCTGAGATTTTCAATTTTCTTTTTCTTTACTGATAATAGGAAGAGGAAGGTTTTACCATTGAATGGCTACTAACAATAGCCGTTCTACGAGTCGAGAGAGACGTGGATGCTTCTTGCGGTGAAGCTAAGTAGGCCATAATATGCTTGCGACAACAGTATTGTGAACCAGTATTTCTGTGCTAAAGAATGTTCGAAGAAAATCATCAGTATTCCGTTGGTCCACAGATCGCAGTAAGTTGTTTTAGCCATGTCCCCATGATATTAGCATTTCGCCAAGTTTAAGCCAACAAGGTTAATAGAGAAGATCTTCAGTTCGGAGCTTCTTATTTTCACGCAAGAAACACGAGAGACAAAGCGAAGCATTAAAGCAAATCGTATTACAATGAGCACGATGAGTCTTTCAGGTAGCCTACAAGACTGGTTGACACAAAAATTATCCTTTGTAAAATTACAAAAACCTGCACGAATTTTGGCATAACATAATGGTGACAGACCGAAAGAAATGTAAGTGAGAGCAGATTTCATCAACAGAAACACATTTTTTACTGTTAAAAAACATGTTGCTTTTACCTCATATTTGTAAATAAGTAAAAACTTCAATTACTGATGCAAAAATTCTTTCTCAATACGGAAAATTAATAATACTATCAAGCACTACTCACGCTCACATTACTTTCCTCATGAAGTTCCATTCCTAGGGTACTACTCATTAACAAAAATATTTCATATGTCTTCTAATTGTTCAGAGGTTAGAGCAATGCATTTTGTCCGTATAAACAGAGCCATACCTTCGATACATAGAGCCGTACTCTGGTGATCTTCACTTTGAGCGTCATGATAGAACACCTTCACCTGGACAGAAGTACGGAAATCATCCGGGGCGAAGCCCCGGAAATTATGACATGATGAAATAACCATATAGGGATGAATGTGAGTGAGGCAGATATAGCAGTGACATTTGAAAGAATCTCAAAAAACATCAGAAATTGCGTTTTTATGGTTCTTTTTTTTTGCTGAAAAAAGGTTTTAATTCAAAAATTCGATTAAAAACTAGGACAAAATTTCTCAATTAACCTTTCTCTAAATTGCGATTGAGCGTTGGAAGTTTGTGAAAGAAAATTTTAAGCTGGAGTTCAATAAAAACGAGAGACTGCGCTCAAATTTTGCGCAGAGAGTCGCCACATAAATGCAGGTTCATCTCGTTATGGAGAGATTTTCAAGACCCGCGACGTTGTCAGTGCTCCTGGCCGTCTCATGAGGATCACAACGATATGTAATGTTGCAGGGTTTCGTTGAGACCCCGCGAAGATACACGACCAGAGCCAAATGCCCCGTCGGCTCTGGTCTGTCTCCGCTGCTCGTCTGCGTCTCCGCGCGCCGCGCGCTACCTCGCTACCTCAAATGCGGGGCGCGGGGCATTCGGCTCTGGTACCTTTTTTTCGTCGCTCGGAGCCCAGTTTCGACAAAGCATATATCATATCAAAGCCCTTGATCTCCATTTTCACACTGACAACGTCGCAAGACTTTTTTTTATGATTTAAACGAGAAATTTGGGAAAAACGGCGTTTTCGAAAACCTCTTGTTCTTTCTCCAGTTTAACCCTTTGCACTCGGTTTTTTGTGTATTCTATAGGTCTTGTTTCTGTCTATGATGTAGACAACGTCGCCGAGCTTACTTCTTTGCTTATGCCGGTTTTTTTATGAAAATTACAAAAAAAAAACGCGTTTTTAGCTTGTTCTCTTTCAGTGCTTTTGCAGAATTTTCTCCAGCTTGGACGCTACTTGCTCAGAATGATGAGCATAATAATTCAGACAACGTCGCAGCGTACGAAATAACTATGCGGGGGTGAAAATTCAAAGGACGCATCAAAAATCAGATTGGCGTCGATGTGCAACATAACTTTTCAGACATGTTTAACATGTTCAATTCAGTTGTTGACAGGTTTTTCTTCTTTCGGTCTCCCGACTACCGCCACAGCTAAACAGCGCTTTTTCTTTTTGAATGGAAAAGAATTTTGTTTTTGTGCCATTCAACTGAACCGGCAATCCTGAAGACGAAACTGTGCGTAGGAAACCACCATGTTAAGGTTAAAAATTTGGTGATATGCTAGCCTCTGCTTTATATAAATTTTTCAAGTTTCTTGGTTTAATTCATATCTCTAAATTTCCATCTATTTTCTGAAACAACCTTCACCTTTTTATAGGGGGCAGGAACTCAAACAACTATCACTTTTAACTTCTATCTCTTGACTATCGAAGGTATGGGCTTGAAATTACAGATGGCTCCGCTTCGCATTTCAATAACTCCTTTTTCAATCATTATTCTAACGGTAAGCCACCGATATTCTTAAAAATGTTGTATCAATATCCTCACATATCCTTGCCATCGAAATCTCACTTTATAGATATTCTTGTTAACCACAGCATCTGCAGTTGAAGGCGGTATGGTAAGCAAATGTTGTATATTGTCAGCTTTCGTGATCCAAAAACAGTTTCACGTAATAGATGAACAGCTCTGATGCGTCAACAAACGATAGCTCCAAACCGGTAAGTAAGCAAGTGTTGGTCATTTCTAGCTTCTCATCAGATTGTAATTTTTAGGATGGAGACGGTGGGTCATCAGGCGATGGATTGGTAAGCAAATAGTGGTTACTCTATGTTAGAAAAAATATTGCACATGATAGGATGGTAGTGGTGTTGGTGACTCCTCACCAAGCGCTAACTCGGTAAGCAATTGCACAACAGCTTCTGTCATTGAGGAGTGTTTCAAATTATAGGGCTCCGGCGATGAGACAACAGGTGACTCCGGACAGGTAAGCGAATTCCGCTGCTAGTTATTATCATCGAAAAATACCTTACTCTATAGAGCTCCTCCGTTGGGACAACCACGGTGAGCAGGTAGCGCCCATTGTTAGCTTTCGTTATCGCAATACTCTCATTTTTAGAGCTCCAGTGGGTCAGAAAGCGATGACAATGTAACGGTAAGCCGATGCTTACCTTCTAGTTTCCATCACCGAAAAAGCCAATTTGTAGTCAACCCCACAACCCAACCAATCAACAATCAGCAGCATCTCAATGGTGAGCGAGTGCTGCCCCTACATGTGTCAACATTTAGGAGCATAAATCAACAATAATCAACTTTTTCAGTCATTTCCGATAGGACCTCTAGGATTCTCACTTGTAAGCAAGCTCCGGTCTAACAAGTTCGAGATGCCAAGAATTTTATGTGAAATACTTGCAGCTCAGTACGCTCAGTGATTTGTGGAACACAGTCAGAAAGTGGTGGTGTGAGGTAAGTCACGCACGCTTTCTACATATGCTTTGAGCAATGTCAAGACTTTTCTTGTGATGCGTTCCATTTTTCAGATTCACCAGAAGAAGTCCAATGATAACAAACCGGTAATTCAGTATGACATTGTCAACCTAGCCTAGAATCGACATTTATTGTGCGAAGATACCTTTATCTTTAGCTTAAGGGTTTCTACAATAGTCAATGTTGAAAGATAAAATTCACTTTTGAGCGAACGCTCAATAATGAGACAATTTTTCATGCATTCCACTAGGGAGCCAGAGCTACCAAAATAGATTAGTCGAAGATTGGTTCCTACACAAATTTGTCACCACTTTGATCATGTGACAATTGGTTTTTACTAAGGCATTTATTCAAGATACTTCCTCCGAGGGTTGACAAAAACACCACATTGTTATGCTTTTGGGTCGATGCAGCACCAGAAGGCACCTACAAAAAGTATACAGAATTGTGAGTGCTAAGAACTTTATGTAATGCAGAAGATTAAATAGCATAAGTAGACTTTTTTTCAAGTTACAACGGAAGCTTCGCAAATGTGACAGTTCCACCCAAAGTGGGTAAGCTCCTACCTGGGAAATTGTTTTTTTTTTTTTGAAGCTTCTTGCTACAGGTGGATGCTGGCACTTGAACACTAGCTACACCGCAATACTTCGAAACGAAACAGGCGAGCATAGAACCATCCTACCGGTGAGTATAATCTGCAGTATATGAGCATTATAATAGACCAACAATGGTTACAGATGCCTTTGTCTGGAAGTTACATCTACGAGTGCAGGAAGTTGTACCCTGAGTAAGACTCAAGGCGGTACTTTCTCAGTTTTCCATCCGTCAGAGACTTCTGAATTATAGATATCCTGTTTGTGAAAGAAATTATTCAGATATATATATACCACGATATGGAATGGGTAAGTTAGTCTAAGCTGTGGAAGCCGGAACTGAATAAAAAATTCAGCGGACGGTGCTGATTCACTGAAAACGGATATAGTGACCAATGGACCTTTTAGTGTAGGATGGAGCGCGCTTACGGGTAATTTACGAACAGTACCCGCTGATGATTACTATTTGGTAGGGTCTGCAATTATTTGTAAAGTGGGGTGAAAAACGAGAAAGACGCACAATCAATACAATACCACCCGTAATTTGTGAAAAAAATGGCGGCGGCACTTAACTTACGCGGCGCCGCCGCAGTTAGGTGACAAACGCCGCGTCGCGCGACAAAAGTCGGCGGAAAAGCGGCATTTGTCACCTAACTTTGTCGCGCACGCCTAACTTTTTACAAAAAAAGACCTTATCTTGATTCAGAATTTATGAATTCTATATATAAGAGTACCATTCAACTCAGCTCGGCGAGGCACGTCTTCCAGTATACAGATGTGCCTAGTTGTGGGATATAAGCTTTTTTCCTGGAATTTTAGTGTAAATGGATCTTTCAGCGTGCTGATTCCAGAGGCTACATACTCAGTACATACGAAGCAAATAGGAGAGATAAAAGTAAAAATTCTTCCTTTGAGCGATGTCCAGTCACAATCGGACGTAATGGACATCTACGTTGATTTTTCCACTTTACATATTTTTAAAAATTTGTACGGTAGCCCCGAAAGCATGTTAGGGCCCGGAAAGTATGTATCAGAATGCCCTCCTCAACGTACTCTTATAAGAAAAACTGCTGTAAATGCTAACTGCTATAACTTCGCATTCCAAGAATTTTTAGCTTCTTCTGAGGGTTGATTGGCAGTTGATTTGTAGTGAAATTTACAAAGCCCATCTTCAAACCTGATCTACCAACTAACCTAAGTAGGTGGCTCTGGTGGTGAACAGTATTTTTGTGCCGTCATGGCAGTAAATACTAAGTGGAATCAATAGTTCTGTAGCCATCTTTTTCAAAACTCATAACTTCTAGCTGTGTTGAGGTTTTGAAATGGCTTCAAATTTGTTAGATAAAGAAAATTGTCTTTTTTACAGCTCTTCTGTATACTATTGAGAAAAAACGAGAGATACAAGCATTTGAAGAGAATCACTCAAGTTGGGTGCAAGTTTCTAAAGTATACGGGAAGAAGGCAGAATGCACCCAGAATTGTTCATGTTTTTAATACAATGTTGAACTTGCTACGTGTAGTGATAGTCTCAAATTCGTTGAAACTGGCAAAAGCAGATTTTGGTTGTACCTTCATGTAATTGGTTATACAAGGATTTGAGGCAATTTCTGGTCACTTTCCTTGCATCAACTCCCGATTTCTTTTAGTGAAATGGAACTAGAAAACTGCCTGGGAGATGGAAATTGGCTAGTGATAATCTGCTTAATGTAGATTTATGTTTACATGTTGCGTTTTCTCAATGTTTGAGTGAAGAATTGACCATCTACAGGGAAGAGAGCAAAAAGCTCTTTGTTTGGTTCTGGCGAATTTGAATCTAGCATTGCAGCAAGCTCGTGTGTCCAAACTGCCTCTTTCAGTACTCTTCGAAGACCTTGCTTAACAGAACTTGAGTAATGCTCTTCGACTACATGTATTTCTTGCGTTTTCTCTCGATAGCTTGTATTGAAGTAGCTTTTGTAAAGAGGATGGTTTTTTTCTACCAAATAAATTCAAAGCCAAGTCAAAATTATCCAGCAAGAAGTTATGATTTTTGAAAAAGGTGCGACAAAGCTTTTGTTTACGCTAGTGTAATGCAGTGGCACTAACCCGCCACATCTTCTAGACTTCACATTGTTATTGTGCGTCTGCCATTAAATTTGAATTTTCATTTGCATAGCATGACAGACTATCCTAATGATCGTTCCATTGTTGAGTAGTCGCTTGACATGGTTCGCAATCTGCATCAAAATTTTTGAACCGTTATCACTTTAGAAGTACTTTGCCGACGTCATGTGGGTGGGTAATTTCACATTCTTTGGATGGAACCGTACAAACTGGAGTCTTGCGATAACAGATGCAGGGCAGAATCTAACTGGTAAGTCAAAGCAGTTCTTCTGCTCACTGTCACTAACTGAATGCTTTGAAGTATTTTGTAAATCCTATCATTTTCAGATAAGCAGTTATTGGTCCAAGAAACTGAAGCTTCGGCGCTAATAAACTTGACTGCTGCTGCCCGCTGGCGAAACGTCACTGGATTGAACTTTTATCTCTAAATTTTTTTGTTGCGCTTATGCAATGCTCATAATAAAAAGTCTTGCGCCAAATGGGCAAATTCTGGAACAGACGGCAATAATGTAATAGAAATAAGTAGATCTTGGAATCTCAATGTGCACACTTTGATCACTGACATCTTTTTAGCATAAAGCCTCTCGCCCTTCTTAAAGGCACCGTCCACCCAAAATTTCGACCTCCTTACTTTTGCCGTCCCAGGGCCTTCTCATACCCCTTTCCGAATATCAAGTCGGAAATCCGCGAAAACCACGGAAAACCCCCGTTTTCGGAACCCGAAGAGCAATTTCTTCGAAACGGTGATTGGTTGGGCGCGCACCGATGGGCGGGACAAACGTCACGCCCACTCAAAGGAGAGGAGCCAACGTGGCGAATCTGTCATCCGAACTATTTTTGAAGCAATTTTCTCGCTTCGGAAGCAACTTTTGCCAGCACGAGTTGGATGAGTATACGTTGGGGGCTCCAATACTGTTAGGCATCAAAATCTCATCGACCCTGATTTGGGTGAACGGTGCCTTTAAAGGCAGTGGCTCGGCAGAACAGAATGGACCCTTCTCGGATTTTGGTGGATTTAGGCAGTAGACCCTCCCCCCACGTGCACTGTAGCTTAAACCCCATTTGCCAATTCAAGCGTACTGAAAAATGCGCTTCAAAACTCCACCAGCCCCGCCCTCTCAATGGAAATGGGCGGGGCTGGTAAAATTTTGAAGCGCATTTTTCAGGACTTAGCGCATGAGATGGCAAGTGGGATTTAGACTACAGCGTATATGGGAGCTCTACTATCCAAATCCACCAAAATTCGAAAAGGGTTCATTCTGCCAATCCAATGACCCCATTTTGGGTGGACGGTGCCTCTATGTCAGCTATTTGCAGAAACGGCTTTGCCTTAGTTTTACAGAGTAGAGCAAATTACCAAATATCAATTTCTGTTCGTCATCGATTACACTAGGAACTCCCAGTGTATCATCATGTGAAATTGGCCGTTGAAGAGAATTCCAAGAAAACCCGGAAAATTATGTTGTGTAGCCAAAAGTACACCAATACTTCTCACTACATACCTTTTTACTAGTTTTCAAACTTCTCCATGCTGTAATCACAGGTTTTAAGACATTGAAAAAAGTTGTTACTGTGCAACACATGTAAATTATAAAAGAAGGATCATGGCAAAATGCGAGTTTCAAATTCAGAGTCAGCAACTTTAGTCAGCTCAGTGTAAGTTTTCAACTTTATCAATTTCCTTTCTCAGGCATACTGTGGCCTTTCATGGCTCAAACTCTCTGCAAGTTTCCTAGCAAGCTTACAGTAATGAAGAGCAATTCGCTTCAAATCGTAGATTAGGGTAGAGCCAGCTCTACAGATTGGTACCCAAGGATCCGCGACAGATATCGGAGCAAGAGAGTAACAAATTAACATGAAACAGCGTCTGCATATTATGGAGACACACTGTATGTATTATAAAGAAGTATCACCACTCAATAATTAGTAGGAAAGCTTTCGATTTAACAAAAAAGCTCCACAAACGTCGAAACTGCCAAGCAACCATCGATGAACAATGCACTCAATGCTGGCTTTCAAAAGCCGTAATCGAAAGATGTACTCTACATTAGGCCCCGGGCAGACTTCACGCATTTGATCGTCGCGACTGAATCGCGACGAGACAACTGTTACAACATCATTCCATGCTGATCAACTTGCATTCGGTTGTGATACTTTTCCAGCCCGAAATTTTTGAATGTGAAATGAAAATGAATGGAAATCTTGGCGATTCGATCGCGACGATTAAGTCGCGTGAAGTCTGGCCGGGGCCTTAGATATCCAAAGCACACTTGTTGGATTTTTCACGGCTAGAACACGAGAAAAAAATAGATCGAATGTACGATGTCGCGTCTTTTTTTGCGCTAAATCTATGTTTTTCGAAAATTACACTTACAAAAAGCCGGAAAGTCTTACCATGAAATCATCTAAACGGAATAAGCTTGAGACTGTTTCTCCAAAGGCATGCTAAACTCCGTTTTTTCGATTTCTATCCATGAAGAATTGCGAAACTGTGTTTAAGAGTGGCTAATGTACGATACAGCTCGTAAAACGACGCGCAAACGCCCGATTCATGTAACATCCAAGGGCACCATTCAACTCAGCTCGTCGCGGCGCATCCCCTGATATAGAAAATGCCTGCTTGGACACAGTAGGATCAGATTCCATGAGTCATTTCAGCTTTTTGCTTACGGTAGGTTTCCCAATGTGCTTATCTATTGCACTCACTGGACAACCTACCATGGGCAAAAATTTCAAACGATTTGTGGAGGGTGGCCTTCTGCTGCATCCAAATGGGCACTTCTATATTTTAGAAGTTGCACCGCGCCAGGCTGAGTCGAATGGTGCCCTTGGATTAAGAACTCGTCCACCCTGAAGCAAGATATGGCTACGCTACGGTGTTGTCACAAGAATCGCGCGACTGCGGGTTTTTCTTTTCCAAAAAATACGAAAGATATTGTAAAGAGTGTTACGCGCAAACAATTTGGGGTTGGAGCTTTTTGAAGAATAGCTTAACTAACGTAACCTCGGCTATCAGGACTAATCTCATCGTTCTGCAACGAACTTGTTACATTCACCAGCGGACTACTGACGGGCTAGTCCCGATTTTTCCAAAATTATATTACACTGTGCTCTGCTTTTAGCAATATTGAAGTCCTATAAACATTTAGCAAACTTCAATCTATAGACTTGGTCTGTCGGCTCTAAAAGTCGTCATATTGCTGACTTCGCCTTCCTTTTGGGCTTTATAGTAGGGCTCAAAAATAGATAGTACCACAGTTTAGGAGGCAAATTTTCAGAAAGGAGCACGAAAATGGGCAACCGCGACTAAGCAATTTCTCAATTGAGCAAGAAATTACAGCTAAAGCCTCTTCTTTGAGTAACCTCTGTTTTGCCAAGCAAACGTCTCGAACAACCTCCTCCTAACTCTTCCGGTAGGACGCACAGGAACACACGCTAGGTAACCACACATTTACGATATGTACCCTTAAATCTCACAGATAAGTCCTCCCATCAAATAAGTCCGTTTATCTTTTTTATTATAACTACCCTAATTTCACGCGTATAAGGATTTTTTTCCAAAATCGACCAGCCCAACAAGCCAAAGGACTTTACAACCAAAGGACCCTATAACGTGCTGTATATTGCTTGAGAGAATCGTGCGATGTAAGGATTTCTTTCCGGAATACAGTGAAGCGGCTGAGCGACTCGCTTGAAAATTCGAAAAAGTGCGCCTTATACGCGTGAAATTAGGGTACCTGATCTTGTCACATAAGTCCGAAAACTGTTAGAATAGTCCGATCTTATCTACGGACTTATCTGATGGGAGGGCCTTATAAGTCATTGACCCAAGTCTGGCTGCTTACCAGAAACTTGCAAGAACAGGAAAAAGGAAGGCGCTCCTCCAAACCACGAAAAAGGAAGGCGCTCCTCCAAACCACTGGGTAGATTTTAATTCCTATTCTATTTATTTTTTAGAGCATATAAAAAGTCCGAACAAATGATGAGGTGTAGACCCTTATAAGACAGCGAGTCGGGGGTACCTATGGCACTAAGTGGCAGCATGTCAGTCAGGAAACTTATTAGTGAGCTCTCTGTCTTTTAATGAACAGGTGTGAAGAACAAGAGCATGGAAAACTTCTATACCAGTAAACAACCATCACAGAATATCTGAGCAATTAGTGGAAATACAACAACCAATTAGTGACAAATAAGGGTGGGTTCATACTGATCCGTTAGTTCCGGAATAATTCCAGCACAGCGCAGAATTCGCCAACAGTTTTCATACTTTAAATGGTACACCTTGAGTGTAAAGATAAAGATAAAAGACAAAGATTCGAAAGTGCAAAAAAAAATTCGTGGCTGCGCTGGAACTATAGACTTACGATCAGTAACCAGCCTAAGTAACGGCATTGGGCTCCTAGACAGATTGAAGCTTAGAGCTCTCATAAGACTCAAGTGGAGTCACGTCGAATTTCTTTTGTAAATCTGCTATTGTCTCCTCCCAATGATTCTCCCAGTCGATGGCCATGAAAAACCGTGCTTTTGTTGCTTGCTCGATGATCCATGGCAGATGCTTCGTAAGAAATCTGTGACGATGCCTGCAAAAGTTTTACACTGCAAGAGGAAAAAAGTTGAAAGCCAACCTAATGCGAATTTCAAAAGCAGATATGAAATTTGAAAGAAGGTTACGCTCTTTTCGCACATACCAATGATAAAAAGGAATTAGTGCACAGCACGCAAGCGAATAGAGGACTCAGCCGGGATATTCAAAGTCAAGTTATTAATTCACCTTTCTAATACTCGACTATTACTATGCCGCACTCCAAGGGTCCCAAACCAAAAGTTCTCAATAAAACGTTCAACATAATAATATGTTATTGGTTTGGCAATACTTTCTATTGCAAAAATGCTCTTTCGAAAAAAAAGGAGGCGCCAAACACCTACTTTGTACGCAATCTCCCAGCTCCAAATATGCCAGCTGTCACACACATCGGTAGTCCAAATTGGATTCCTTCGAAATACTTCACAGTAACCTGAATCTTGAGATCCCAGCGAAGAACGCATAATGGTATAGTTAACACATTGACGACCATGCAGATTTTTAGTTGTCTGCCTTTTGGGACCAAGACCTTTCACGGACCAGCCCACTTTTTCAGCTATAATTACGCACACTGCCATCTACAGTACACCTACAGTAGATCTGAAAGGCTGACAAAAAAGGTGGAAGTCATCCTTAGATTCTATGCAAAAACAAGCTCATGGAGTGAGTTTATTTCAGGATAGTAGTCATTTTACCAAAATTCATACCTTGACACACATGGTGTGTCAAGCGGTCCCACGCGGTAGTCATTGCTTGACACCATGTGTGTCAAGCTGTCGTCAATGTGTTAAAGGCAGCGTCTCGGCAAAAGTTCGCTGTTCACTTTTTCAATTCGGACTTCTCGCC